GACAGAAGGAGGAAGGGAACAGCCCCTGCAGGGGCCCTCCCTCCCTTCCCCATCCCTAAGTTCCCATTTTAAAATCAGCTTTTCAATTAATAAGGTCCTGTAGGTGGCTGGTAGGTAGCTAGCTGGTTAGCGTAGCTGGTTAAAAGACTCTGGAATTATCTGTTACTTTGCCACCAGCCCATGCACCTAGATTGGTCAAATCTGACTAGCTGGCTATCTCCTTAGAGATCAAACAGCAGGGATCCCCTGCAGTCAAGGGACAGGGGAGTTTTGATCATGGGAGAGGGAGAGAGGAAGGCAGGGATACAAAGACCCCATGAGTTGAGGGACAGTAAAAGGATCTGGGAAGGGCTTTCTCTTAGGTAATGCAGGAGCCTCTCTCTTGCCCACTCTGTCCAAGTGGGCAATCCACCCAATCCGCCATGGCTCCCGTGGTCGCTGACACTTCTACTTGTGCACAGACAACCCTGAATCAACAAAGGGAGTGACCATCCAGCTCCACAGACCCTCTCTCACCTGCCAAACACCCACACTCAAACACAAGCACCCCCTAATTCTGGTCCCCCAAGCCCCACATCAATCAGTGCCCAGGAAAAGATAGTACAGCCAAAATCACTCCCCAATGGGGGCGCCATAAGGAGGAATTTGGATCTAAGGCCCAGCAAACCTAGTAGAAGAGAAGGGGAACTTACATTATGAAAACCATAGGTCCCTGGTGCTTACTCTGAGCCACTTCCAACACGGCCATGATGTCCAGTCGTCTAGGCAGCGCATACACTGCACTACTGGAAGAGCACCATCACTCATGACAACAATTCTCTAGCAGATGGCAGTCAAGTTCATCCCTTGTCTCCCTCAGATACCAAAGAGAAAGCCCTCCTGCCACCTACCGCTATCCAAGGCAAGGGCTGACACAGGGCCCCTTCCAGTTCTCTGACGCTGTTTCCTGATCTACTACTGGGAGTTCACTGGCCAGGGCACCTGTGAGTGAAGGCTGAAACCTTCACCCCAACTAAGGGGAGAGGCCTCCCCTCCCTCTAGGGAATCCCACTTGACCCCATTCTTGGCTCTGTCTTGACCCCTCCTCTCTTCCTCCAGCCCCAGACTCTCCTGGGTGAGGCTTGCAGAGGTACCCTGATCCTGCAGAAGGTAAGGGGAGGATGGGAGGGTGAGTAGGGGACTGAAATCCCTATCCACTTGGACACCTGGAGCTCAGGAGGATGGAAGCTCAAGGAGAAGTGGGGAGAGCAGGACCCCCATCCCCCACCTCTCTTCCACATGCACATGCACAAGCACACCCTCTCCACCAGTCAAGAAAAGGTGAGTCCTATAAGCCAGAGAAATGGCTGAGGGCCCCTCTGTTCTGCTTTCAACACTTGCTATTCACGCTCCCCCACACTGCACCTGTGCAGAGAGCCCTGGCCCACCTGCTCCCAGGCTTCCCCCAACCCTCCCCACCACCCTCTCATTCCCCTTCCCTCCAGCCCTACCCCACCCCTCAAGGAGCAGGCCCAGAACCAAAGCCTCAGGGAATGGCCCAATGACTTCAGATTCCCACAACAGGGCTGAGGCGGGCACTGGCTGCCCAAGGGGTGCAGAGGGCTTCACATCCCAGAGACAACCTACCACTGCTCTGCAGAGTGCTCGGACCTGCCTGGGAGGCCCGGAGGGTTCATTCTTTTGAATCCTTATGAGGCAGCTCCAGCCCAGACCTCCCTCCTGGCTCAGCGTCTCCCATGTACCAGGGCCAAGGCTGGAGGCCTCAGGGCTCCCACAGCCCCGCAGCCAGGGACAACCTGGGATTCCAGGGAACCCCTGACTGTCTTCTTGTTACCCCTCCTACCTGGAACCCTCTTCTGCTGTCCTAGTATTGACCGAACCCTGATTCCTCTTGGACTTTCACGAAAACACAGATTTCTGTTTCACTGGCTAGTCTAGATATATTTTAAAACCTTTTCATGCTGATAACAAAAGTCACACACAATGAGGCATTGTTTCTAGAAACTATAGAAATAAGAAAATAAACGAGCCACAGTTTTTAAAAACTAAGTCAACGAAGCTGGTCCTGGATGGGCCACGGTGGCTACTGGACGGGGCTGCTCTGCCCTCAACTCCCCACCTGCCCCACCAGGGTTAAAGGAAATCCCCTGCACTGGCTGCTCCTTCAAATGGCCAGACCTGGACCCCTGTGGCATCCACCTCTGCCCCAACTTGGTGTGGGATTTGGGTGGCAGCGGGGGCACTCCTCACCCCCTTTGGAGGGGGATGTGAAGAGGGGGGAGCGAGCCCACTGGAACTAGTTCCCACCCCATCCTGTTCCACAGGCTGCACATTCCATTCTGAGTCAAGAAGGAGGCGGGGACTGGGGGAGGTAAGGCAGAGGGGAGGAGACAGTCTGGCCTCCTCTGGGGCGGATCCCCCAGGGAGCTCCAGGCCTGGCAGGGATTATAGACCAAACCAAGAGGAGGAAGGGCGCCAGGAGTACCGCTGCCCAGAGGTGGTCCCTTCCCCTTTCTCCTCTGGAGCCAAAGCACTGAAATTCTGCCTTGGACATGTCCCCAGAAGACACAGGGGCACAATGAGGGGGGTAACGCTAATATACCCTTCCCCCCAGCCTTGCCCCAACCCCATGGACAGCTTATGGGGCTTCGTGCCAAGGCCATTTAAATGCTAAGGCCATTGCTGTGGGGAGCATGGGGTGGGGGAGGAGTCTGAATGCTGTTCCTATCAAGGGAACTGAATTCCAGATTTGATGGCTTCCCGGTGTCAGGCTTTTTAGAGAGACTGAAAAGGCCTGCGTAGTGAATGCTATTTAGGAAAACAAGGTAGCAGCTGAGGATGCGGCCCCTGCTTCTTCCTTCCTCTCCCTACTACCCCATGCCTGCGCATCCCCAAGGCTGGAATCCTCATGTTTGGGCACAAGTCTCCATTCCTTTGCTAACTTGTCCCACGTGCACACTTGGAGCTCAGAGATGCCAGGCCCACATGGCACATCCAGGGCCCTGCCAACTCATGGACCAGACCCAAGAATACACCTGGAGTCCCAGGAGGTGTCTGGGAGGTCCTGTGCCATGAACCATGGGAATGGATGGAACCCTTTCTCTAGGGGTCTGGGAAGGCTTTGGGGCCCAGGTGGCCTCTTTGGGTCAGGTCCCTGGGTATGGAACAGGCACTCTCAGGAGAAACTACCACATCCAGGCGGCTCAGGAAAGTATATGCACCTTTACATTTTATTTATTTATTTATTTATTTTTAAATGAGGATTGAACCCAGGGTTGCTCTACCACCGAGTTACATATTTTGAGACAGGGTTACTTAGGGCCTCACTAAATTACAGAGGCTTGACTCAAACTTGTGATCCTCCTGCCTTAGCCTCCCAGTTGCTGGAATTATAGGATTACAGGTGTGTACCACCACGCCAGGCCAACTATTATGCATTTTAAAGGAAATAAATAAAGAGTGACCCCATCAGAGAAGCTGGCAGAGGTTGGAGGCAGCCTTGCTGAGCTGGCCTGTAGCAAATCTCCTAACCAGGTCTTCCCAAGGCTAAACAAGAGCCCGTCAAGACACCAGGCCAGGACCAGCACACAGAGCATGCCCTCCAACTTGGGGGAGGGAGATAATGGGAGATGCAGAAGCTATCCTCCATGAATTCTGGTTCCCCATCTGGTGACAAGCATTGTGACAGCCACCCTGGCTAACATATCCGGGTTCTGGGAAGGGACTAGCAAAGGGTGAGGGCTGCTGCGAGTTCAGACAGGAGCAGTCCTCTTAAGCAAACAGTGCGCACAAAAATAACTCCCATTCAAAGCACGATTTACTGTGCAGGCCAGCCTTCCCAGCACAGAGCTCTTTTCAAACACAGCTTCACCCCTGAATGTGCTGGGGGAGGGGGCACCCTAGTCCAGCTGCTTCTGAATCCACTTTTTCCGGTAGTGTCCGCTTCCTGGAGACTTACCCAGAGAACTACCCAACTAAAGGCCATCTTGAAGCACCCCCAGAGAGGAGAAAAGCTTAGTAGACTGGCGTGCCCTCCCCTAGGTCTCTTGGAGGAATAGACCGGCTCAGCAGCAGCCTTTACCATCCACAAAGCAACCGCTGCCATGTGCTTCTCAAGAGCTCCCAGGGAGGTATTCTCATTGCTGTTGTCCCATTTCACAGATGAGAAAAGAGAGGTTTAGAAATGATAAATGACCAGTGTATCGCCTGGCTCTAAATCCTTCTCACTACATACACTCGTTTCTCTGATTCTGCTAATTATCAAAGTAGCAAAATGTCCAGATTGAGGCTCTTCCCATCAAGAGGAACAATGGGGATAGAATGGCAGATGGAATCCGAGGTTGGAGATCACTCTTCACGCTCGCCTGGCATGCATGTGGCCTGGGTTCGATCCTCAGCACCACATACAAACAAAGATGTTGTGTCCGCCAAAAACTAAAAAATAAATATTAAAAAATTCTCTCTCTCTCTCTTAAAAAAAAAAAGGGCTGGGGATGTGGCTCAAGCGGTAGCGCGCTCGCCTAGAAATCACTCTTCACCCTTATTGATCCTCACACTCCTCATCACAAAGTCAGAGTTGGGGTGGTAAGCCCTCTTTAGGCAAGAGATAAGATATTAAGCAAAATTTTGTCAGTGAGACCTGTTGGCTCTACTTAGGTGGGAACTAACTCTCCCATTGTCCACCCTAATACAAAGCACCCTCCTTCTCAGTTCTCAAGCAGCCTGCCTGCCCCCCCTAAATTCCATTCTTAGTCCTTTTCAGGCTAAAGTCATCTCTATTTTTCACAATTTTTTTCCACTTATAAAAGTAATTTATGACCCCTGTAGAAGATTGGAAAAACCAACAGAAGATTAAAACAGGAAATAAAAAATTATCCATATATCCAGTGTCCCAAATTAACCTCTGTAAACATTTGATGCATGTGTCCGGTGTTCTACATATGTGCGTATGATGGACATGTGTATACAGATAATTAGATCTTTACAAAATTGGTACTTACACAGTTTTAGATCCTGGTTTTTTTCTTCTTTTTGTATGCGTTTTCCAGGTGATACACTGTTCTTTGTTAACTATGCTTTTTGGTTTTTTGATAAAAACAAAATTTTTCCTCCCTCAGCCACCATTTCCCTCCCCTGAGGCAATTAGGGATTACTGCTTTTTTTTTGCACCAAATAATCTTTAAAAATCATGAATCAAGACTATTTTGCTCTCTAGCTTCCAATGGTTTCCCATGGCTCTGGCAATAAAAGATAGGATTCTTACCAGGTGAGGAGGGGCCAGGTCCAGCCCTCTGTCCTCAGGGTCTCTCCCCAGAGCCACATAGCTGTTGGCTCCCCTTGTCCACAGGGGGTTTCCTTTGCTATTCCCTCACCCTGGAATCCCCTTCTTCCTGTCTTTATGCAGCTGGCTTCTCCCCAGTCTTCAGGCCTGTGTGGGGCAGCCTTCACTGCCCTCCCAATCCAGGGCCACCTGCCACCGGCCTCTATACCCTCTTTCCCATCACCCTGTGGTACTTCATTCATATCACACAGGATGAGCCACTACTATCTTGGTCCCCTACAGCCCCTTTAGAAAGAAGCCTCTGGCAGGGCTTGGGAGCACTTGCCTAAAATCCCAGTGACTCTGGAGGCTGAGGCAGGAGGATATCAAGTTCAAGGTCAGCCTCAGCAACTTAGCAAGACCCTGTCACAAAATAGAAAATAAAAAGAGTTGGGGATGTAGCATAGTAAAGTACCCCTGGGTTCAATCCCCAGTACTCCCCACCCCCCAAAAGAAAGAAGCCTCTCTGAAGGCAGGCATGCTACCTGTCTTGTTCACCTGTAACCCACTGCCTAGCACAGGGCCTGGTACTTGATTGTCACATTTCTTTAGCATGTTTCTGTTAAAGGAATGAAGTTATCTTCAATGCGGGGTCTCATCACTGAAAGCTCTCCACCTGCAGAGTCTCCAAGCACCAAGAATTGAAACTCTGGCCATCCTCTCCCATCCCTGGGGCAGGTTAAGAAGGCAAGAGAAAGCAAGACAGGAGCCTGTCTCAGATAGCATGTCGCCCTCGCTCTGGCTGCCTCACCTCTTATTTGTGCTCTGCAGTGGTCACAATCAAACAAGGAGCTTACGCCGAAGCCAAACTCCTAGTGGAAAGGTAGAGGTGGCACATTTGTCCCTCATTTACCTAAATCCCATACTCAGTGTGCCCTGGCAGCTGGGCCTTCCCAGGTTCCCAAGTGAGTCCCAGCAGCAGGAAATGCAGAGCAGAGCTCCTCCAGGGACAGCCCATCCCACCTGACTCTTCCCCTGGGCTCCAGACACCTGGGCTCCTCTCTCTGGAAATTCACACAGCCCCAGAGACACAAATGCACATCCAATCCTGAGCCAGCAGCCCTGGCCAAGAATGCCCAGGGGACACCCTTTTGGAGACACTTCCTTCCTGGGGCCCAATTTCCATGGAAAGAATACTACAGTGGTTCCCTGTCTGATTTTTTAAAAGAAGGAAAGATGAAATGCTGTTCACAAATATTGTGAAGCAAGGGAGGAAAAAACAAAAGAAAAAAAGACTCAAGAAAATGAAACTAAACGAGGAATAGGAAGGACAAGTTTGATCTTAAGAGCCCGAATCAGAACAGGGGAACAGGAGTTCAGTGAACAAATTATAAAAATTGATTAAGTGGGCACAAACCCAAAGTGCTCTTCTGGGCTCTACACAAGTTCACTTAATAATGGGAGATGTAGCTCAGTGGTAGAGCATTTGCCCAGCAAGCTCCAAGCATTGGGTCCCATTCCCAGCACCACCAAAGAAATTCATCAGAAAATAATGCAGTAAAAGCTAATTTTTGCAGTGCTGGGAATGGAACCCAGGAACTCTGGCATGCTAGGCAAGTACCCTACCACTGAACTCCAGATTAGTTTTTTTCCTTTTCAGGATCAAGGTGGGTACTCTTCATATTAGCCCCATTTTAAAGATGAGGAAACTGTAGGGTAGGGGTTGATTAAACTGCTCCAAGTCATACCAGCACTGAAGATCTAATTCTAGCTGCCTGGAGTTTAATCACTAGGCTACACTTGATTGTCAGTGATCCAAGTAGGTGGACCCCTACCCTCCTGGAGTTCATGCCTTCCAAACCAGTATCCTTCAAAGGATCACTATATACCAGTTTCAAAAGTGGGAGCGCAATTCTTTCTGTTTTCATAAGAAAAAGTCCAGAAAAGTTGAGGAACTCGCTCGAACTCACGCTGCGCCTCGGTGGGGAACTAGGACTCAACTGTGCTGAAACCCAGCATCTAGCGAGGCACTTCCTAAAGGGAGCACAGTAGAAATTGGGTCTCTGCAAACCCCGCCCAGAGCAGCAGCAGCATCTTCTCTGGCTGCCTTTGGCCAGACCCCTTCACCAGCGCCAGCGCCAAGGCGCTCGGCCCGGAAATTCCCACAGAGTTAAAGCAAACTTCCCAGGAAAACTCCCCGGCTTCCTCCAAGCCCCTGTCACGGAGGCGACTGCCAAGAGCGCCAGCGGAGTCTTTGCAGCTGCCGTGGGCCCTACAGGGAGGGAGCCGCCGCTCCAGCGTTCGGGGTCCTCCCGGAAAGGTCCAGGGCTGAAGTTCAAAATTCACTTCCCGCCCAGGCCGGACTCGCGGCCCCGCCCGGGACTCTCCGGCAACCCCAGCTCACCGAACCTCCCCAGCTCCAGTTAAATAATGGGGCACCTCCAGCCGGAACACCCCGGAGGACAGCGGGGCAATCCCACGGGCTATCCCAGCGCGTCTGGGAACTCCAAGCAACCCGAGCAAGCGCGCGCACACACACGCGCGTGCACACACAACCATACACTCACACACACGTGTGAGTGTGTGTTTACGTACAGAACGCGCGGGGTGGGAAAACAATGGCGAGCCGCTGGGACTGAGCGACCATCGCCTCCGCGTCTCCCAATCCCTAGGCACAATTTGCTTCTGCAGTGAAATAAGGGGGAAAGGACCCCCTCTGGCATCCTAGGGTGGGAGGTAGGGGTGCTAGGGAGAGGCTGGGATGGGGTGGGGGTGGAACGCGAGCAGCGCGAGCAGAAAACAAACAGGAGGCGGCGCCCGGCTGGTTCTCTCGGGAACGAACCTGGAACGGTGGGAAGGGGTGCGCGGCCGCCCCCACCCCGGCACCCCACACACTCAGGGCGGGGGAGTTCTGCGTCTGGTCTCTGGCCCCCGGCCCCCGAGCCCCACGCGGGGCACGCACACATCGCCCGGCTTGCCGCTGGGAAATCCTTAAACTGGGCGCACAGTCGGGTTGGTGAAAAAGACCTGGCGCCCGGCGGCTTGGCGAGGAGCCGGCGTGGGGCTGGGGGTGGGGGGGGCCGGAGCTCGCTCGTGTGGTGCGCACACATACACAGAGCCACCCACGGCCATTTCAGGCTGCCACTCCTCTCCACAAGGACCGGGCTCTGCCGGCGAGGAGCCGCCACTGGCCGGCGTTGTTCAGGGTCGGCGAGGGTCCGGTCCTCCTCGAAAAACTTTGCAAAGGATGGAAACTCGAAGGGAAGAGGATCGCCGTGTGCCCAGAAACGTGGGGGCGCGAGTGTCAAACTTCTCAGGCCGGGGAGAGGGGCACGAAGGCGCGCGGGGCGCACTTACTACTCAGCCAGGCGCTGGGCTCGGGGCTCGGGGCTCCGCGCTCCTGCTCCTCCTCCGTGCGATCCTCGCGACTGGTAGCCTGGGCTTCCCGCTCACATGCCCCCGGCGACGCGGCGGGCGGGCCGAGCTGGGGCGGCGGGGCTGGGAGGCGGCACGCCCCCCGCCGGCCGCGGAGGAGTCGCTCTGGACCCGCGGTCACCCGGGGTCCGCGTCCCACGAGGGGCCACCGTCCCGGGAGGCGAGCTCGGTTCCGGCCGGGCGGCGCCCTTAGCCAAGCCAGGCCGCTTTCTGCACTCTGCCCTCTGCCCTTGGCTTGCGGCCGTCTCGCTGCCTTCCCGGTCCTGCTCCCGGACTCGCCCGGACGCTCGCTGGCCGGCCCTCCCGCCCTGCGGGCTCTGCGGCTCCGCGCCTCGGTTAGCCTCCGAGGTTGAGCGCTGCGCCCCGGCCTCAGACCCCGGGTGATCGCTCTTGGGCCCGGGTTCCAGGACCCGCGCTCACAGTTCAGTTCCGAGCCCGGACTGGAGCAGGGCGCTCGCTGCTCGCAGCTGCGAGGCGACTCGACAGCCTCGGAGGAGAAAGAGGGAGGGAGACCGTGAGCCGGCAGGGGGAGGAGGGGGAGGGAGAAGGGTGGGGAGATGTAGAAGGAGGGAGGGACAGAGAATTTCCTCCTCCTCCTCCTCCCTGCAGCGGAGTCCATCCAGGCATCAACAGCTGGGAACCTCTGTTGGGAAGAGAAGGACTAAGGTTCTGGACCGCGGGGTGGGTGGAGATGAAGTGAAAGGGTGGAGAGAGTAGGAAAAAGAAAGTGGATTCTGCTCACTCCGTCTGCCCAGGAATGAGGGTTCCTACAGAAAAATCTTCACTTGGAGCAAGATCTGAGAAGTTATCTATCCACTCAACCTCCGAATTCCTTCAACAGGCCGGATTTGGAATTTTAAAAACCTCATTTGAGAACCCCCCTTAAAAATCTGATCTCACCTGCAGCTGTACAGCTTCCTAATGTCTGTGGCCTCTCCTTAGTACTGTTCCCCCCCCCCAGGGGGGGTGGATTTTCTTCTTTCAAAGTTTTTACTAAATGTCTACCATATGCCTGGCCCATTAGGTGCTGGGAACAGCAGGATGAATGAGACATTGACCGCCCTTCCTAGATTTCCATTTTTAAATTTTATTTATTTATTTAGTACAGGGTTCACTCTATCATTGAGCTACATTCCCAGCCCTTTTTATTTATTTATTTATTTATTTTTGAGACAGGGTCTGGCTAAGTTGCTCAGAATGGCTTCAAACTTGGAATCCTCCTACCTCCACCTGGCCAATAAGTTTAATTACAGGTGAGCATCACCCAACCAAATACTGGATTCCTGAAGGAAAGAGTGCACACAACTCCAGTGAGTGGAAAGTGTTCAGACAGGGCAAACTCCTCGTTGCGTGAGGACCTACTGAGGGTCTTAGGATGTAAGGACTGGAATCAGTCTTTTGGGGGAGGCCTCATCTGAACTTGGAGGGACCATTGGAAGAGGACAGGCTAAAGGTGCAGCAATTTATAAAACTGCAAATTACCCTGTGTGTGCCCAGTGTGGGTGGCTGGTCTTCGTCAGGTAATAGCCAGTGAGGCTTCCAAGGCCTTCTAAGGGTTTTGGATTTCATCGTTCCTCCACTGAAGCAAATGGAAGAGAAAGAAAGAGAAACAGAGACAGACCTCAACAGATCAGGGATGGTTTATCCAGCAGCAGAGGGGCACATTTTCAAGAGGAAAATGGCAAGTGGTTACTCTAGGGGTCTGAGTTTTATAGGGTTCAGTGAGGCTGAGTCATCGCAGGGATGTGTCTGTTGGGCAGTCAGGGGAATAGCTGTAGATATGAGAAATTGTGAAAGTCCGGAGCGCATTGTTCTGCTTTTCTCCCTGGGGCTTATTGTGCTTCCTTTTCTCTCTGGGGGTTGTGATTTTCCACATCCTTCACCCACTGCCTTCCCTGGCTCATTCCCTTTATTCACCTTTTGGGTCAACTCTTCCAGGAGCCTTTCTTGATGGCCCAAATCTGGGTGAGGCGCCTCATTTGTGGGCTCTGAAAACCCCTTGATGGCAGATAGCATGGTAATCACCTATGTCTGTCTTCCCTATTAGACTGTAAGCTCCACAGGACTGAGATAGATCTTTGGTTCACTGTTAGGGAAATCTGTGTGCCTAACCAGGACTCTGCCAAGAGTGGGCCCTTAATAAATAGCTTATTGATTGGTTGGCTGATGGAAAGGAACGGGGTTAGGGGTGGGGGTGAGCTAAGGGATTCAAAGTAAGGTCTCTGATAAGATCTGTCTAGTTGGAAACAAAGAGAGAGGCAATGACCAGGCTAAAAAATGGTGCAGGCCTGAGCTAACCTAGGAATAAAGGGATGCAAAGGAGTGAACAGGTAGGGGAGCAGGGTGGGAGAAGTCAGCTCTGACTCTTGATGGTCTGTTTTGAGGATGACTGGTTGAAGTCATCTCAGAAACCCATGAAAGAGTTTCCCCATGTTCCACGTATCCTTTGCTCTTCCCAGACGAGGCTCCTGTGATTTCCATCTGCTGGTGTTTTTCTCTAGCCTCTGTTCGGCTCCAGTGGGGGAACTTCACGGTGCTTCCTTCTTCGTAACTTCCCTTGGCCACAGCAGATTGAGTTGGGAAGAACAGGGAGGCGAGAGGTGCACTCTCGTCTCCAATATTCCACCATCCACTTTATCTCATTGGTATCAGGCCTCTTCAGTCACTACCACCAAATTCAGACATTGAGGGTCTTCCTACTATGCCTTAGGCACAGTACTACTTTCCTATAAAACATCTATTTGCACCTTGCCCCAAATCTTTGAGGGTGTGTCATTATACCTTTTTAGAGGGGAGAAAAAGGAAGCTCAAGGTCACAGATTGTAAATGGAAAAAAAAAATTACCTGATTGAGAATTCTAGATCTTTCTATATTACCATACCACTTCCCAGGAATACTCACCAAATTTACACCATTTAACCCAATCAGCCGCTCCCTCCTTGAAACACTGGCAACATGATTCCGCACTCTCCTGAGTTCGCCTTGCCCTCAGACTGCCTTGATCAGCTTCCCTTGTTTATGCTCCTTCTCCACCTTGGTCTCCAGGTGGGTGCTCCTGTGGACCAAGATCTCCTACACCCTATTTTCCTCCTTATCCGCCTTCTCTCCTAAGAGACTTCCACAGTCCACTTTTTTACTTCAATCTCTAAAACTTTAGACTCGCATGCCCAAATATGTGCTTGACATTTCTACTGAGGGGTCTCACAGACATCCTAGACTTATGTTTAAAACTGAACCTTTAACCACTACCATCCTGGAGCCTGTTTATACTCTCTGCCATTCCCCCATGTCAATAACTAGGACTACACTTCTTCGGTGGCAAAAAACGGACAGTCACCTTTGATTCCTCTTTCCCATCTAGTCTGTTTAGTGAATGCCATTGGTCTTTCTCCAAAAACACGTCCCAGTCCCTCCATTTCTCTGTCTTCACTGTTCCCACCTTAGCAAGGTCACATCGTCATCATTCAGCTAGACTACCACAGCCTCCCTGCCTTTGAGAGCTGAGACCACCTAAAATCACCCTCCACCCCATCCCACTTCTATTCTCTTTCCCAGCTCCGGTCTGCTTCCTTTATGGCACTTGCCACAATTGGTACTTATTTAATCTCTTTCCTGTTTTCCTGTACTTTCTCTGCTCCCCTTTGGACTATATAGGCTTTGTGAGACAGGGGCCTTGTCTGCCTTGGTCTCCATTGCATTTCCAGAGTGGTAGGTGCTCAAGAAATAGTTGCTGAAGGAATGACTCAGATTGGCTTCTGGGGGTGCAGCCATCAAGTGGGCTCGTGGGCCATGAGTGGGGCTGAGGTGCCTGTGTCCCCTTAACCTCCAAGGTTAGAGACTAGGTGCCACATGCAAATGCCTCAGGAGAAGCCATAAAAGGCTTAAGTTTGCAGAATGGTGTGAATTACTTTCCTCAGGAGCTCTGCAAGGTGAGGAGAGAAAGCTCAAGGGGAGAAAGACAGCTGGGGAATGGGGAAAAGGGAGGATGCACTGGAATTCTAGTCTCTGCCTGAGCTCTATCTTGTTTGCCCCTCCAATCACCAGCGCCTGCCCCTCCATGTCTGGTACCAGCCCTTTATCCTATTGACTAAGCAAGTGCTTTTCCAAATACTGACCACCAGAGATGTGAGATGACGTACCTAAGCCTTGGAGTCTGTCACCATGGCTCATCCCACAGGGGTGACTTTTCTGAGTCACTGCCTTTGGGTGGAACTCCAGTGGCTTCTACTCAGTTCTACTTGGGTTTTCCAGAGAGTCATACTCAGGGACAGAGCTAATCAAGAAGGTGATAGGTAGACAGTCAGGGTGGCACACATCTGTCATCCCAGCTACTTGGGGGGCTAAGGCAGGAGGATCCCAAATTTGAGACCTCCCTGGATAACTTAGCAAGACCCCATCTCATAATGAAAAATCAAAAGGGCTGGAATGTAGCTCAGTGGTAGAGCACTTGTGTAGCCTGCTCAAGGCCCTGGGTTGAATCCTCATCCCAGGTAGAAAGGGAAGGGGAAAGGGAGGGGGAGGAAGAAGAGAGTGACAGTTTGAGTCACTGAATGTTGCATTCGCCTATCAGAATCTGAAAATACAAATCTAGAAGGAATCAGCCTTTCAGAAACATCTCCTTCAGCTCCTTCTTTGAGCAATAGAAGAGAATGAGACACAGAGAAGAGGGGTGTTTTGCCCAAGGCCTGGTACTCTACTCACAGGATCTTTAACAGCTCTGTGAAGATGGGGACAGTTCCATTTTACAAATGAGGAAAATGACACGCAGGTGAAGGAAGTGTTCCGAGACCACATAGTGAAGGGGCAAGAGCTGACATTTGAACCCAGATTTTCTGGCTCTCAGATCCATGCTTTGTCCAGTATCCCAGGCTGCTTCTCTTCCGGGAAGTTTTATGATCCTTATGAAACTTAATAAATCCTCTGGCTTCATTTGCCCTTAGTTACTTGTTTTTATTACCAATTTCAGAAGTCACCTAGCTGAGCAGCGCATTCCCATCAGTCTTCCCCTACGTAGCACCTCTGCTGTACTGTCATGATGGTAACCATTGTCTGAGTTGTTTTTCAGGAATTTGAAGCTTGCTTTGCCGAAATCAAACCTGGTAAAACCATCAGCCCTTCGCTTGAGTCTGCACAGGTGTTCTTTGGGTAACCTTTTGATGTCAGAGGTCAAAAATTCTACCCTCAGAATAAGCTAACAGTGCCATTTTCTGAATGTGCTTCCCAGGAAAAGCCAGGAATTTTGATTATGCATGCATACACCACTGTCCCATGTCACTTTTTCTTACCTTCAATCACCACTTCCATGCTTTAGACCACAGTGCTTCTTTATCTCATAGCTCCTATCCTTAGTGGGGATGGACTTGAGACTTGGGCACTCAAATTTGCCTGCCTCATGAATGAACTGTCTTGCAAAATCCATTGCTTCAGTGTTTGTCATAACGCATGGTGGGCAAAATGGGCTTTATTCACTAACATTTAGAATCTGAACCATCTAAACCAGCACTTGA